AAAAAAAAAAAATAGATCTCAACCAGAAAGCTAGGAAGGAAAAGAGATTTTTAGGAATTGGGAACAGAAATGGGCAAAGGCACAGAGAAAAGACAGAATTAAAAAGACAATGTTAGAAGGAACAAAATATCAGTAGACTCATAGACACTGGGAAGGGAATACCCTTACCAAGGGGGAGGGGTTGGGACAGGCATGGGGGAGAGGGGGAAGGCGATAAAGGGACACATGATTTACAATCACAATGTAAGTTGGTCACTAGGAAGGTAATACAGCATGGAGAATATAGTCATTGATTCTGTAACATCTTACTACTTTGGTAGATAGTAACTGCACTAGAGGGGGTAAGGATTTAATAATGTGGGTAACTTTTGGACCACTGTACTGTATATTTGAAACCAACATAAGATTGTACATCAATGATACTTTTTTAAAAAAAGACAATGTTAGAGGACTTTGTGACCTATAAAATGTTACAAAAAAAAAAATTGCATACAGTCCATGGTGAGACAGTGGGGTTATTGAGAGGATTAGATGAGGTAATAGACAAAAAATGCAGTGAGCTCTCTGCCATCCCCTCTGGGTGTGAAGGGGACATTGTGTGCAGGACGGGGCCAGGCACTAGGCTTCTGGTGAGACTCCGCACAGATGACGGGGGACACCTGGTTCGGGGTGAGCAGATGTGTGCATGGCTTAGTGGCTGGAGAAACGGCCCATACTGCTCTGGCCGGAGACCCCAGCACTGGGCGTGAAGCCTCATGGGACAGTGGTTCCTGCTGCGGAGCTGGACAGGGATGGGGTGACATCAGGGACAGGGGACCTCCTGCTCAGGGTGAGGGGCACTGGCAGAGTCACATAGAGGAATCGGAGTTTCTCGTCTGGTTCCTTCCCAAGTGAAAGATGGCCCTCTCATGCCACGGACCTGGCTCTGCCATCACGTCTCCTTTTCTTTGCATTGAATTCAAGATCTGTTGGATGAAAAGGCCAATATTAATGAAACTGGAATGAATAACAGTATGGGGAGTGCTGCCCTGGCCAGGCAGCACACCCCGCCGTCTCCTGGCTTAGCCTGTTACCATTCCTTACCATGAGCCATTACAGCCCTATGTGTGCTCAAATTGTTTCTGAATGGAAAATTGTACAGCAAATGCTGCTTAAAAAATCTACAAGGGAATTTTTTGACAAATTTTGGAATATTTTTATTTTTGTTTTAACTGTTAAAGTTTTGGGAGACAATGAATGTTCAGTGTGTTTCTACTTAGGGTGATCACATCAAATTGTCATGGTATAAGATTCCAACTATGTCCCATTTGAGTACTATTTCTGGTCTTATTTTGAGTGCTATTTTCCTTTTAATTAATATTTCAGAAAGCTTGCTAACTGTTGCTTAAATCTTAGCTAATTATCTCTCACTTATAATTGTGTTATGAAACTCATTAAGAAACTGTCATTCATTGAATTAGCTCACTATACCGAACTTTCCTTCCCTGTGATGGAGTGCTATTATCAGTTTATTCCTTTGTTACTAGATTCTAGGCAGTGGTAAATACTTGCCTCATTATAAGGATAAAATGGGAAAAAAACATAGATTATCATTGTGGAGAAAGCTGTAGATAGGCTGCAGACACCTAGCTGGCACTGAAATGCAGTCTTCACTGAAAAGAGAGAATTGACAGTATCAGATTCAAGGCAATAGAGTAACCCTAAGAAAATTCAAATTTAAAGTGTTAAAGTGCACAGGTGTCAGGATGGGATAGCTCTACCTAGCGTTTACTGAAATTGGGGAATTTCTGTTTTCTTTAAAACTGATTGGTTGGTGTGTTTTGCTTTTTCCAGTGCTGTGTTTTAGAGTATTTCCTCTAAGGATGCCAGGCTGAGGGCAGGAGGGGCCCCCAGCAAGTTGGCCACAGGGAAAATTTCTATTAATGTCCATTTCTTGTCTTATTTTCAGTAGCATTTTTTCTTTTAAATATAATTTCAGAAAGTCTCCTTTCAAATTCTAGATAATCATTTTTTTCCATTCATAAGTCTGTCAATTGGAATCTCTATAAATGTGTGTCATAAACCTATTTGTTCTATATGTTTTTCTCTCAAAATATCAAGAAGTCACATTTTAAAATTATATGTTATATACACAATGGAATATTATTCAGCCATGAGAAGAAAACAAATCCTACCATTTACAACAACATGGATGGAGCTAGAGGGTATTATGCTCAGTGAAATAAGCAAGGTGGAGAAAGACAAGTACCAAATGACTTCACTCATCTGTGGAGTATAAGAACAAAACAAAAACTGAAGAACAAAACAGCAGCAGACTCACAGAACCCAAGAATGGACTGACAGTTACCAAAGGGAAAGGAACTGGGGAGGATGGGTGGGAAGGGAGGGAGAAGGGGAATAAGGGGCATTAGGATTAGAACACATGTGTGTGTGGTGGGGTGGGGCACAGGGAAGGCAGTACAGCACAGAGAAGACAAGCAGTGACTCTATAGCATCTTACTGTGCTGTTGGACAGTGACTGTAATGGGGTAGGTGTGGGGACTTGATAATGGGGGGAATCTAGTAACCACAATGTTGCTCATGTGATTGTATATTAATGATACAAAAAAAAAGCCAGGAAAAATAAATAAATAAAATTATTTGTTAATATTTTAGTATCTTATTTTCCTGCAATTCTTCTGAGCATATGGTTCTCAGTTTTACTGTTCCCTACAACAGCCACCCTTTCAAATACGGTTATTGAACTAATTTCATTCCCCATGCCTCTGAGTTAGCTCTACACATGTTTTTGTCCTCTGGGAGTCTTGCCTTTCCGTGAGCTAATGGTTCATAGGGATGATAAAAGTTTTGAAATACTTGACTAAAGAATCACGAGAATAAAGATCATTTCTGCTCTCATCCAGTATCAGAAAGCTCTGTAGATGTACAGGATGCATATACAGTTTTACCCCAATTTTAAATAAAGTATGTTGTGTACACAGATGTTGAGGAGAGTATTTGTTACTTTAGGGTCAGAGAGAACTTTCTATGCAAAAGACAGTCCTGAAATGGATGGGGTAACTTACTCAGCAGCCTTCAACATCATGGGGTGCTTTTTTCCTACCACATATTTTTCATTTTCCTTTGCTTTTCTCAGACTGAATATTATAGAAGAAAGCATTCCCATTTCCATTTTTGTCTGCAAGAGCCTCTTCCAGTGGAATGCCCGGGCAGCTCCTGGGTGGGTGCCCAGCTCCACCGCAGGAGGCCCGGCCCGCCTCATCCCCGAGTCTTCAGCACCACAGCAGGTAGAGGAGTGACTTCCTGAAATGCTGCCATTAATACCGTTGTTAAAAATGGAACAAACACCTCATTTTTTATACCCAGCTATTAGATTTTAAAACAAATAACTGCCCTGAGGGAGAGTGTAGAACTGAAGTTGACCACCAGCGACTGAGCATTCCCTCTGAGGTGTGCATAGGGTTCCTCAGTTTCTCCTATGTGTCTAGTTTCCAAAAACACCTCACTGAAAAATAGTATTTGGCTTGTGCCTTTAAATTGAAATAGCAAGAGGCACAGTCCTCTCTGAAAATTACATCAGAAAAACCGGACTCCTCCAGGCCGAGTCCCCTGCTCCCTGCTATCGCCGGATGGGTGGTCTACCAGAGGTACAGTCCTTGCTTCCTGTAGCTCAGCTTTTCTGACTGCCAAGAACCGCACCCTTTTCTGCTGTTTTATCTTCTGGTGATTGGTTTTTGATGGACACCAGAGTTGCAAGTCACAACTTGCTTTCCTGCTGAAGAGGAGCATGTCAGTTAGTGTATGCTCTGACAGCCGCAGCCTGCCTCCAACCGCAGAGCGCTGTCACACGGTTCACGTGGTGACACAGGGCTCCTGAGAGTCCCTGTGTGGCAGCGAGCCACCTCCTGGCACCAGAGCACCCAAGTCTGCATGCTGTGGTGGTGTGCGGGCTCGGGAGGGCCAGGCACCCAGGTGGTACCACATTCCACAAAGTCTGACCTCTGATTTTAATATCTGCTGTGTTTATGGGTGATGCTCAGTCAGGCAGAAGTGAACATTTGAGTATTCAAGCCTCCTTGCGAGCCCCACGTCAGGTACAAGCCGTAAGCAGTGGCAGATGCCCGAAGGAGTCACTCTCGCAGCCCGACACCCCAAAGTGGTGACCAAGGGCCCTTGGCTGTCGGGGACCCTTCTTGGAGTGTGTGCCTGGGACCTGGCCTGCGGGCAGGCAACCTGTCACCCTTGGGAGAGTGCTGGCGTCTCTTGTCTGTAGCCTGAGGAGGGAACCCCAAAATCAGTGAGCTGAGAACCTGAGGCCTGGGCTTGCCAACCCCGGGCTACAGGCCCTGCTACTCTGTGGCAGCCCCAGCGGGCATCTTCTGAGACGCAGGTCGGGATGGCAGGAGTCAGGCCTGCAGGCCCATCTGGGACTGAAGACACCTGCCAGTGGTCAGTCACTTGTGGGCATAAGCTGGCTAATGTCATGACGGTTTCTGACGTTTTCTAGCAGTTTAATGTTCTTGTGATAGAAGTGGCTGGGCTTGACAGGGACTCGGCTGGTGGAGTACGTTCATCTGAGGCACCGAATGCCATGTTGGTCAGGCTGTAAATCCATTGGTCAGGACAGTAGGTACTTCAGTGAAGTGCTCCCGGCCTTCGCATTACGCAGTCTGGCACTCTGGCCACATCTGCTCAGCCGTGGGAGTGAGTTACGGCCACAGGCGCTTTGTGCTCCATCCTTACCCCATGTGCTCAGGGCCTCAAGGACTAGCCTTGTGGTTAAGCAAACCTGTCAGATGACCAGTCCACTCCAGTGTCAAGGGGGGTCCTCTTGGGGGCTGGGTCCATGCTGGGGTCTCCATGGTGCAGTTCCGCATTTTTATATGAGGAGCTCTGGGTCTGTGGGGTCACCAGCCAGAAGTGATCTCACCGATGTGTGTCACTGCTGCCAGCCCCGGCAGGTCTCCCTCCAGGCCTGTTTTCACTGTAAAGTAGGGTGGCTGCTTGTGGCTTTACCTAAAATCAGTTACAGTTTGTGACAATTCTGATTTGTTGATAGTTTGTAGATCAAGTCCATTTTATCTGCTTTTGTATTCCCTAGAAATTGCTTCCCTGTCGTCTGGAATAGAACATTTTCCTCTCTGCTCTTAAAGAAAATGTGCATGATAGTCTGACTTTTCAAAGACACTCTGGACTTCCCGTGAATGTGTTCTTGAGTGCAACGGAACATTTTCTTTAGACGTTCCCCCAAACAGCCTGTCTCTGCATGACAATCCAGGCTGGGGGATGCTCCGAGGTAGCTCCCCGTGAGTCCACTCACGGAAGACTGGACCATCTCAGAGAGGGTGGTGTACAGGGTCCCGAGCTAACGAAGATCTTGCAGAATATCGACAAAGTCAAAGCATGTGGGGATCTTCTATTGACAGGGCCCGTGTACGTTCCCTGTTTAGCCACAGGGCTCCCCGCCCTCTAGAACAAGCTACCGCCACAGCACTGCACTCAGCAGACACTGCTCCTTGCCCACCGAGCCCTGGGGTCAGTCTGGGCAGCTTGACAGCTTGTTTTAGGAGGCCATTGGTGTGGGGAGGCCTTTTGTGTTTTTAAACCCAGATTATGTTTTACAGGTAGAACCACTGGCGTATTTCTAGTAACGCTCTCGGGGAATACATTCTGAGGGCCGTGTTCCTGCGTGGGGCCTGAGGAGCCTCCCCACGGAGCCTCCCGGCCGCTCTTCTCTGCTCAGCCTCCACCTGTCTTCCAGTGTGCTGACCTTACGTCTTCCACACGTCACCTAAGTGCCCCAGAGGTCTTGCTTCAGGCCTCCTGCTTCTGGCTGCAGAACTGCTGGTCACTCTGGGGCCCCCTTTTGATTTGTCCCTACATTTAACACGGTTACATTCATTTCACTAACCTCACCCTCACCTTTAGGAATGCTCTTCATACCTGTTTGTTGTCCACACTTATATGGTGGATATATTTATTCATTTTGACAGCTTTTTCCCTCCAGTTATAGCAGAATGTGAACTAAAATAAAGGGAAAAATCTCTGTGTACTTGGTAGAGCCAGGCCAGCCACGTCAGCAGGGTTTCCTCATTGTGTGTTACAGTGTCCAGGGCACGGGCAGAGGCCCCTCCCCTCCTCAGCCGCCCCACACACCCAGCTGGGCCCCCGGGCCCCACATGTGGGCTGATCTTGTCCAGGGGGCACTTGGAACCCAGGACCTCTGACCCCAGATCTGGAAACTGGTCATGTCTGTACTTTACACAGATGCCAAATGATGTAAGAACATGAGTGGGTAGGACAGACATGAGCACCCAGTCATGGCCACTGTGACCAGGCCGGCCCCTTCCCAGCTCTCCCATCCCCCAAGGGCAGCTGGGGGCCGCCCCACTGCTGATCCTCTGGGGAGGGGTCCTCTGATGGGCACACTGGGGTCCTGTGGGGACTGTCTCTTTGCTCCCAAGTGATAACATCAGAGTGTCTTCATTCTTTGTCGAATCCCCACACGATTTAAATAAAGCTGTCCTGACTAATTCTTGTATCTTTCCTTTTGTCAATTGTTTGCCTTTGTAGTGTTTGTTGAAAAAGTGCTGAAGAGACTTTTTCCTAATGTTCCACGTGGCCAAGAAAAGAAGGCACCAGTGACTTTAGCCTCCAAAAATCCTCTGGAGAAAGTAGAGTCTAAGGAGGTGACAGGCAGAATCACACCTCCCCAGACAGGTGAGTGGCTTGCAGGTGGCGGTGGGGGCGTCCAGGTGTTTGCCCTAGAGAGTGTGGCTCTGAACCTCTGCTGCTGCTCGGGATGGAGTCCTGTGGGTCTTGTACTGGGGGACCATGCAGCCTGTGTGACCTTTTGTGACTGGCTTCTGTCGTGGAGCATAATGTTTTTGCGGTTCATCTACATTGGAACGTGTTATCAGTACCTCCTTCCTTTTGATTGGTGAATAATATTCCACTGTATATGAATAGACCACGTTTTGGATGGGTGGATATTTGGGTTGTTTGTACTTTTTGGCTATTGTCTGTAATGCTGTTGTAAACACATGTTTGTGTGGCTATGTGTTTTCACTTCTCCTAGGAGTAGAATTGCTGGATCGTATGATCCTAAAAACTCTTTTCATTGTGATATGCAATTGTTCCTGTTTCTGAACATCCTGCCAACACCTGTTGTTTCCTGTTTTCTTGGTTCTAGCCATCCTAGTGGATGTGACGCTGTATCTCACAGTACTTCTGACTTGCATTTCCCTGATGGCTAACGATGTGGGGCATCTTACCATGCACATGTTGGCCATTTGTGTATCGTCTTCAGAGAAATGTCTATTTAAGTCCTCCCATTTTTAAATTGGATTGTCTGTCTTTTCATTGCTGAGTTGTAAGAGTTGGTTATAATCTGGATACGAGACCCTTACCAGGTATATGATTTGCAGATATTTTCTCCAATACCAGTGGTTTTTTCACTTCTGCAAGGGTGTGCTTTGAAGCACAGAAGATTTTGATTTTAAGTCCATTCTGTTTCTTTACTTTGTTGCCTGTGTTTTTGGTGTCAGATTTAAGAAAACACTGCCAAATCCAAGGTCACAAAATTTACATGTAGGTTTTCTTCTATGAGTTTTATAGTTTTAGCTCTTATATTTAAGTTACTGATCCTTGTTGAGTTACTGCTTGTATGTGGTGTGAGGTAGGGGTCCAGATCATTCCTCTGCTGTTGATGTCCGGTTGTCCTAGCTGTACTTGTCGAAGAGACTGTACTCTTCACATGGAATGGGTTTGGCACCCTTGTCAAAAACGAGTTGGTCGTAGATGAATGAGCTTACTTCTGGAGTCTCAGTCATGTTCATTGGTCTATATGTCTGTCCTTATGTCAGTACCATACTGTAGCTTTACTTGATTACTGTAGTTTTGCAGTAAGTTTTAAAATCAGGAAGAGTCATCCAAGTCTGTTCTTTTTCAAGATTGTTTTAGCTATTGGGGTCCCTTGCCATTTCATATGAATTTTAGGATCCACTTACCCACTTCTTGGAAAAAAAGAAATCCAAATTACATTGCATCTACAGAACACTTTAGAGATTATTGCCACCCTAAAAATACCAAGTTTCCAATCCATTTAGGAAATCTTTCGATTTAAGTCATTTTTACTTTAATTCAACAATATTTTATAGTTTTCACTATAAACTTTACACCTAAAAAAAAAATAATTCCAAAGTATTTTACTCTTTTCGATACTATTGTAAATGGAATTTTTTTCCTTTTGAAATGTCCATTTCTAGTGTATAGAAATACAAATAAATCGTATGACCTTGGATTAGGCAGTGGTTTCTTAAATAAGAAAATACAGATTTTAGTATATCCGCCTTGTATCCTAACAACTTTGCTGAACTTATTAACTCTGCTTTTTTGTGGATCCTTTGGCGTTTTCTATGTATAAGATCGTGTGATCTGCAGGTAGAGGTGTTTCGCTTCTCCCTGCCCTCTCTCTCTCTCTCTCTCTTTCCCTGGCTGATTGCCCCGGCTAGCACTTCCAGTGCAATGTTGAAGCGAATAGCAAGAGTGGGGATTCTGCCCCATTCCTGATCTTGGGGAAACCCTCCAGGCTCTCTCCGCTGAGTGTGATGTTAGCTGGGTTTTTCATACATGCCCTTTGTTGTGTTGAAGTTTACTTCTATTCCCAGTTTGTTGAGTGTTTTTTTATCATGGAGGAGCAACAACTGTTTTGAAGCAACATATGCCATGGAAATTTTGAAGGCAATATATTTATTTGTAGTGGAAAAGAAGAAATCTTGGCTAAAGCTAAACATGAAATCACAATCAAATAGACAAATAGACAAATACAAATTGTGTGATGCTCTGTAACAAATTCTCATTTTGAGAATTCCCTTGAAGGCATGATGCTCATGGAAGGGACAGTTGGCTGATAATGAGAGCTGTAGATCTGCCTGAATCTTTTTGGATTGGAGGAAGGCAGCCAAAATGAGGAAGATGCCTGTCAGTCAGTCCTTGGGTATGAGACAGAGAAAATATTCTTTCTGCTTAGCATATGGCAACCACCTAACCAATGCATTGATATTTGTTCACTTTATAGAAACACTTTTACCTTTTTTTTTGGTTTTAAAAGAGTGTCGCTAATTCCATTTGTTCTTACAGACAGGGCATTATGTGTCAGTAGCCAGAACAACCAATATGTATGCATTGTGGTAAATTTTTTGTTACAGCTTTTATTGTTTTTAATTTATCATTATACCACCACCACACACACACACACACACACACACACACACACACACATTTTTTAATTTATCATTATACCAACACACACACACACACACACACCACCCCCCTCCATTCCCAGATCTCCAGGCGTTTTGGGGGGAGTCACATCCAGTCTCCCAGAGACCTACCTGTGCAGGCCCTCCTGGACTCAGTGGAGCTGGCCGAGTTAATACTTGCGTTTTCATATGTTTGCTTAGCTTTTTAAGTGCCTCTGGTTTCTTCCCAGTCTTCCCTCCCTACTGCCGTCTAACCTACCTGTGAGCAGCCGCTGTACATGGGCTCCTGGCCTTTCCTCCCAGAGCTGGACCTGCCCCCCATGCCTGCCTTAGGGCTTCTGTCCTGGAGGCCCTGGGGACGAGGCCCCTCCTCTGCCAGCTGGGCCTTCTCACTTCTTTTCTTGAGTTTTGCTCATTTGTTGAAACACATTCCCTAGGGCCTCCTAAGAAATGGTGTTTGGCAGACAAATGTTTTGAGGACTCTGAATTTTGAAAGTTATCTTTATTCTCATATTGGAAGTCTCACCAGGTGTAGAATTCTGAGTTAGAGTTGCTTTCTCTCATTCTTCACCTGTGACCTTAGGGGTCATTGGGATGTTGGTCCCACGGACACAGGCAGGGTTCAGCCCTCTGGAATGTGTTGGGCCTTCCTTTCCGGCCCCGCGAGATGAGGCAGGAGGCTATCATTTTTCTAGGGAGGGGCTGTGGGCCGCTGGACTGTCTCTTCGGAACCCCCCTGCTTCACTCTCTGCTCTTTGTGGAATTCCTGTTGTCCAGATTTTGGGGCTCACGACAGATCACTTCTTTTTCTTGTCTCTTCTTATTTTTTGTCTCAGTCGTCTTGTTCTGGGAGATTTTCTTGGCTTTCTCTCCCACACTTGCTGTCGTATTTTCCACCCCAGCTCTCGGGGTGAGTTGGAGGAGAGGGTGGCCTCCCAGCACTGGCTCATACACAGACCGTACTGGCCAGCGCCCCTCGAGGCTGTGTCCTCTGCTGCCCTGGGGTACTGTTGGCCAGGCACGTGGACCACCTGCCAGGCTCTCAGCCCCCCCAGGGGCTTCAGCTCCCAGAGTCCTGTCGTGTTTGCCTGTCCTAATATGCATTCGCCTTGCTTTAGTGGGTGGGGCATGCATTTGCCCCGTGCTGCTTCTTGGCTTTACTGGCACCAGGATGGTGGGTGGGTTTGCATCCTGCCTGGGCCCCGCAGAGCCTGCCCACGTGTCCCTTTCACCGCATCTGTGGTCTCCTCTCCCACAAAAGCAGGGCCTCCTGGGTGTGGAAGCCACCCTGGGATCCCCAACAAAGGGAGAATTAGGAATACTGGTCTCAGGAAAAGAGAATGAGTTCTTCTAGTCACCGGTGAAAAAACCCTTTGGAATCAGATGTCTTATATTTCTTTGCTTTCAGCAAAATTGAAGGAAATAATTGAGTTATCAGCTCATTTAAATGATGGATCATTTAAAATTACTTGTTTTCATGATAGATTTTGCTGTGGTTTTTGGCATATAACTCAGAAAAACCTCAGTGCATCAGGAGTCATTGCTATTTTTAAAAAAAAAACCCAGACTGTCATCTGCTTACTTATGTGCTCAAGGTTTCTTAGCAGTTATGCATGTAAAATGAAAAACAGGGATAGAATTCATGTAGAAACCTGTATAACAATAACAGTAGATAAAGCTTCCACATTCCTCTACTCCCAGTAAGAGAGGTGTTTCCCACAGGATTTAACTCTGAATTAAATAGTTATCAAAAGTGATCATTGTTATGTTGATCAACTGTATTCTACTAATTGTAATAATTTGGGAAAAATTTACATTTAGCATCATGGGAATTTTTTAAAGGTTAAACATGAGACTATGGGGTAGGATAAAATCATTATCATAATGATTAGGGGGAGTGAGAGTTCCTTAAGAAAAAGGAGCGCGAGTTTCCAGTGAGCTGCTGGAGGGCCAAGGGCCGGTTCGTGCATTAACGTGGATGGAGGGCCGGTGCACGTGCTGTGGCGTCCAGGCTCGCTGGGTGCACATGACGCACGCAGCAACAAGCGTGCTCTCACTGCCTACCTGCAGGACACTGCGGGTGGGTCCTCACATGGCAGCTCTAAAATGTGGACAGGAGCATGCAGCTTAACGCATTCCTTTAGGGAACAGATGCGCAAAGATAAGTCAGCCCCTCTCTGCTCACAGACAGAGCAGCCATGGGATGCCTGTGTGGCACTGGCCTGTGCTTTTTCAGGCTGTGAAGAGGGGTACACAGACATCTACAGATGTCTGGAGTCGTCCATGAAAATGTCGCCAAGCTTTTTTTGTAAAAGCTGCTGCCAGTTTTCCATTAAGATGTGAATATTTTCTTACAAAGGAAATGCGGTGGTACAGGTGTCTGTGACCGCCCACTCTGGTCCCCTAGATCTTAGCCTCTGCCAAGCTTCCCGGAAAGCTGCCTCTCGTTCAGGACGTACCATGTATGGGCCTCAGGTCTAGGCTGATGACCCAGCCATCCTCCGGCCACTGGGGAGCACATCCAGGGTGCAGCAGCAACTGAGGTCCCCACACTCGTGCTGGGGGTGCAGACCTAACATTCTCACCACAGGAGTGGTAACTGGGAGGTGACCCTGCACAGTACGTGCATCAAATCCCCTTTAATCCCCTCGTCATCCACCTTAAAGTTGCAATCATATGTCAGTCATACCTCAGAAAGGTTGGGAAAACTGATGCTGTGTGGGCCCTGTCCGCGCCTTCTGCAGCCCATTTCCCCTCCTGCCTGGGAGTGTGATGATCAGCATGGCTGTGTGCTGCTATTCGGTTACATGTCATAAATGCTTCACTTTACATACCGTGTAGTATCTGAAGGTTTATAAAACTTTGTATCAATCACAGTATTGCCGCTTACTTTAGTCGGGGTCATATGCACGCGTGTGGCCGTGTCAAGATGTGCATCCCTTCAGTTTTCAAACGTCTGATGTCGCTGCGCCCCCTGCAGTCCTCCCGTGATTCTTGTCCTTGGAGTCTGTTGAGCTGCTTGGCTCTCTTGAGTTTATGGTTTTCATCACACGTGAGAAATGCTCAGCACCTCTTTCTCCAAACACTTTCTCCGCCCCAGGTCGGGGGCCGCCTCGCATGGAGCCTCACAGATGCCCCGTTGGCCCCTGCCTTTTCCTCTCCTTGGTTTATTTGCCATTTGTTAGGCTGTCTGCACGTCCTTACGAGGGGCAGCTGATGGCGCAGGTAGCCAGGCTGCTGAGGCCACTAGGGTGACTGGGAAGCTGCTCTCCATCACCACGCAGTGTCCCTCTGGCTCTGGGTTGGTGGCAGGATGTGGGTGTATCGCCAGGAGCAGGGTCTGGCCTCAGCCAGTGTGTGGTATTGGGGCCGGTGGTATGCTGACTGTTCTGAAGAGAAGCTGGGGGCGGGAGAGGGCAGAGGGGGCATGAAGGGTCATGAGGAGAGACAGTGGGGCTGGGGCCAGGCGGGATGGTGGCCTGGGCACAGCTGCGGGGACCACGGTGGGGGAGCACACCAGGCATGGCACGGAATGTGGGGCGGGCAGGGCTGGGACTGGCTCCCGGGAGGCCACCAGATGAGCTGCAGTCTGAGGATGGCACCTCCCAGACAAGCAGGTTCATGAACTGAACCCCTGGGGCCACAGCTGAGCCAGGGAGCTGAGTTCCTCCACTCTCCTCTTGGGCCTCACCAGCAGCACATGACTGCCGTCAGCAGGCTGGCTGTGTTCGGTGTGACCCTCACCCTGGGAGAAGGGACCGGGGTGGGGCAGGCAACGTGTGCCTGTGCCCTGGCTGCCGGCTGCTCAGGGAGGCTAACTGGTCTTCTCGCTTGCCACCTGTGCAGTGGGTGTAACATCTAACTTGTCAATGGGTAGATGCCATCACAGCAAACCGTTTTTCTCCTAGAAGAAATTAGGACCGGAAGCTGTTATGGATTAGCAGTCACTTTAATTTACAGATGGCAAGCCGAGGCCCGAGGGGATAATCTAATGCCTGTCATGATGACAGTCCTGTCATTTATAGTGGAAAGGCTCTGCCTGGGAAGTCGGCATGTGGTCTCTTAACAGACGAGAGCCTTCCCGAGCATCTGACATCCATCCCTTAGGCGTGTCTTTCTCTCTTATCACATGAGTGGTCATCTCAACTTCACTTCCATGGTGGTGTTCATCCTAATAATTGAGTGAACAATGACATTTCTAAGTTCTGTTTAACGTTCATATTAGGAAGATTTAGTTGACTAAAAACTCCCAAAAATACTCTGAAAAATGATCAAATGTTGATGTTAAATGATAGGGGACAGTCCACATAGGAGCAGGTCTGCATTGACTCCAGCAGGTGTGACGTGGCAATCAATCAAATTAACTTCAGAACTAATTCTTGCATTTTAGCTTCAAGAAAGCAAAAATACTGATGGCAGAACAATCAGAAAATGTTTCAGGGTTTTACATGTAAATGTCTTGAAACCGTACATTCTGGCCATGCGTAGTGATTCTCCTCAGTCCTTGTTGCTGTGGCTAAATAAAATCCTCGCTTTCTATGAAGGACCAGCTGGGATCCCGCTTGTGCTTGTCCCATGCAAGAGGGTGACTTTGCCATATTCTAGGTCAAAATATGAAGACAAAAATGGTTAACACTGCCCAGTGTTGGAAAGAATGGAGAGAAAGCAGTGTATCTGAAAAGCCAAGAATGGAGAGAAAGCAGTGTATCTGAAAAGCCAGCAAAAGGTGCCCACCCTCAGACCAGCTGTTCCACTTCCAGGAATATGTCTGAGGGAGCGAAATGGTCCGTTGTGCAAAGTCATATACCATAAGGGTGGTCCTGGCAGCTAACTGGGCTCATGAAAATTCAGAATCCACCTCATGCAAAATTTTGAAGTGGGTACATTATAATTAAGTTATAATTTGCCAACAGCACGGAGTATTGTATAGCCCATTGAAAGACTTTGTAGACTTAAATATGTCTTATAAAGTATATTATTTTGTACTTTATTCACTTTGGAATGTTATTCATGTAAGATATACAAATGTGTGGTTTATCAACATGATGAAGTATGTGTAGCGTGAACCCATTAGGATGTGGGTGTGCATGTGCACATGTGTGTCTGTATTCCCACACGCTACACACCTGGGTTGTTAGTACATGCAGAGAAAAAGCACCAAAATGTAGAGAGACTCGTGACATGATGGTCATGTTACATGGAGTGTTCTCTGCTTCCTGCTCATGAGGTGGTTGTTTTCATATCATGCTATAAAAGCCCGAAGTTCACATAGTAAGTAACTTAGCGTGGACTTAAGTACACATGAGTCACTCAGTGTCTTTGTCCTGGTGTGGTGGGGAGCCAACTGCTCCTGGCTGACCATCTGCCTTGTCAGGGTCAGCGTGTGTTCCAGCGCCTGGTTTACGGGGCTTTGGGGAGGTGTGGAGACAGGGTGCGGGGCGGGTGGGCGCCTGACTGACTGTGTGGCGCTGTGCATACCAGAGCTTCTCTCCTCCCCTTGCAGTCGGCAACACCAGGACCCGGCCCGAGAAGCGGCGCCGTACTGCGAGTTTGCCTCCTGAAGGCCACCTTCCCACTCCGAGCCTGCCAGGGCCCCGCAGCCGCACCAGCTCCCGGAGCTCCTCCAGCAGTGACGGCCCCGCAGGTAAACGGTCCACCCTCGGCGGGAGGAGGGGACAGCCTGCAGGTGGGCGTGAGTCTCGGTCTCTCCTGTGTCCTAGTCAGCGTTACTAACTTTATCATTGGAGGGCGTGCTGCGCAGCCCCAGAGGTGGCTGTGAGCGACCTGGGCGACAGGAGCCAGGGGGCTGGAGTGCCATCCTGGCTGCGTGGCCAGTGCACCGGAGGCTACTGTGAATGCCCCACCTGTCGGTACTGTATCTTGGCTTAGTATTTTTCTTGATTTTTCCAATCTTTCCAAAATTTCTGAGACTGTGTATCAATTTCATGAACATAGAAATAACTTATTTTGCATCTCTTCCGTGGAAAAATTGGACTATTTGCTTTTGTTGTTAAATGTCATGAATGAAGGAAAATAAAGTGGTCCCCACATTTGGTGGGAGAGCTGTCATGGCACGTTAAATTACCTTGGAAAGTGAAATGGTACCTTTCCCCTGTTGATTCACCATTTCAAAACTACCTTAAGAGGAATTTGAAATTTTCAAATTAAAGTTTCCCCAGATGATTTTTCACAAATATAAACTAAGAAATCTATACTACAAACCTTAATTAATTTGAATAACAAGAAAATGTGGTTTTCTAGTTCACTGATATTTCTAACTTATTAATTAAAAGGTCAAAAACCATAAAACAAAAATATGGGTTAGCTAAGGAATAATATATTTATCTTTTCAAACCCTGTTGAAAATCTTTGGAATAGATAGATAATTTAATTAGAACTTTCAACTATGTTCCTATGAAGATAAATTACCTTCGTGAACATACTTCACCATATAACTCGTATAATTCAATAAAAATATGTAGGATTAATTCACACGCAGTGGTCATTGCTCGCTCACGGGCAACCGTATCCAGTTAGCACTCGCTCACGGGCAAGGGCAAGCAGCCAGTGGATGGCACCTGTGAGGGCCGGCCTGCAGAGGGCCCCTGGGTCTGGGGAAGCCGAGTGAGTCAGTGACCAGCCCCACCTCCCACACCTGCGTGACGTCTACGGCACCACCAGGACAAATGCTTACGGGAAGTTGCCCCAAACCTCTCCTCCAGGAAGGCACCTGGGGCGGGCCTGGTGTGCTTGGGTTAGAGCAAAAAAGTGAAGAAAAGGGGGATGAAACAGTTAGGATTCATTCCATTTGAATTGCATGGTAACCTGGCAAATTTGGTGGTAACTTCAATTCTCACAACTATATCACTACAAGTTCCCTTTTACAAGCTGTTTGCTGAGCGGTCTTCCTGTTAATGTGTCTCCCTGATCCCTGGTCGGGGGGCATCCGACATCCCATCCCCCGTGGTCGGGGAAGGGGGCCATGTACCTATGGGGCTGGGGTGCTGGTGGACCCGGCCATTCCCCTCAAAGGGCAGGGAACAGGTCAGCACGGAATTTGGGGGCTTGTGGCAGTTATGCCCTGAGGTCCTCCTCGTTGTGTCCACTCAGCCTCACCACCCAGCCCTAACCCTATAGCTGAACCCGCTACCGCCCACTGCCTGCGGCTCTGCCCCTGTGCATGTCTGTCCCTGTCCCTGTCCCAGCCTGCACATCTTCCCGTAGCAGGCAGCCTGGGGCTCCCCACGGGCCACCTCACCTGGGCTCCGCAGCTGGCTGCCTGCCTGGCCTCCCTGTGGCTGACCTCTGCCCCCCAGGACAGCCGGAGCATAAGGGGGCAGCTTTCTCAGGAAGCTGTGTCAGTCCCCTTTCGTAAGCCAGCACCGGGACCCAGCTTTTTAGAAAAACATGAACCCAGTTTCTCAGAGCTTTGATTAACTTATTAATCAAATTCCTGCTGGGAAGTCGGTGTTTTTGAATCTTGACCCCTTGCAACTCACCGCCATGTGTTTCGGTTTGCTTTTCCCTCTCTGTCCATCTGAAGTTCTTCCCATTGTGCCGCAGGAACTGGACCATCTCGGGAGAGGCGGAATGACAGGGCTGGGGAAAGAATGACTGGCCGGCCCCTCAGGTTCCCTGTTCTGTCCTGGGGCGAGAGAAGGGCTGTGCTGGAGCAGGAGGCGGGGGCCTCAGGATCGAGACTGGGAACTCCCAGGGCCTCCTGACTCTTTCCGGCTGTGACTTGAAGCAAAGAGAACACGAGACATGAGTCAGAAAGGAAAAGGGTCAGATGGTTACTTTTATCCAAAGATCGACTCCCAGCCATGGGCCGCCCCGATGGTATAGGTGCCCTGGACCTGCCCATCAGCTGAGTGGCGACTTCTCTGGGCTGCACGAGAACGGCTTGGCCAGCCGGTCAGAGGCCCTGGGCCCATGCGCCCTGGGAGCTGGCAGGTCTGCACAGGGCTCCGGAGGACTGTGCCGCGGGACTGGTCCGTGGCCAGGTGTGGTTGTCACGAAGGTGAGAATGTTCCAGAAATAGGGACAAATGGACCCGAGCACCATCACTCACTAGGTGCCTTTGTTCCATCCTGGCGGTGATCTTGACCACAACAAATGCACTTTGAACTCTTTCAGGGCTTCGAATTTGTTAGGAATGGAGTGGGGTCGGGGGGTGTTGTAGGAGAAGGAAGCAGCGTTGTTAAACCTAAGTGAATAACATGGGACCTTGTCCTAGGGCCTCCCCACCTGCATTTGATTCATTTAAATGCCTTGGTGCAATTCAGGTGAAAAGAAATATGCTCCTTCCTCCTCAGACAGGCAAGCGCCACTTTCTTATGAAAGCTGCTGTGTGTGTTCCAAAGACTGTACACCTTCGGCCTGTGACACGGGCAGGCCCACCGTAGGTCACGGAAACGAGAAGGCGGCCTCCTTGGCAGCCGGCCCGTGGGAAGTGCTGAGCAGCCTGATGCAGCCCGAGAGCTCATTTCTCTGGCAGGAGCCCAGCTCCTCCTGCCACTTGGCACGTCTGCAGGGATGCCGCACTCTGTGAGGCTTCGTGACCCAGTACAGTGAGGCCAGAGTCCCGCTGGGCCGCTGGGATGATAAGTGCGTGGTCCTCCACTTACACCAATCACAGTCATTTCCTGAGCAGATCGCATCGCAGGATCCTGGAGGTTCAGGCACCGCTAGTGGAAATACAAGATGGGAGGATGCCCTGCCCTTCTCACAGCACCATGAACTCTTCCAAGCAGCTGGTGGGAAACAAGTGCCCCTTAACTTTAAGAAGAAAATGTCCACTATGTCCCCCACACACCTTTTCTCTGGGTGCTCGTGAGTACACACTGGCCACCAACTTACACGTGGGTGAGCTCTCCAGCTCCTGTCAGAAGTGCACATGGGTGGTGATGAGGGGTGTGGTGGAGGGCACCCCAGCCGTCCGGTCCACGAGGTTGTGTGAGGGCTTACTTGTGCCAGGACCTCACGGGAGAGCTCTGGATTGAGCATCTCAGGACTTCATTTTGTGTGTTCATTTTTAGTGTCGATTAATTAAAGGCATGGAGAATGTTTTTTCTTTTTAGTTTGTTTGGCATCACACAGGTTGAGTGGACTGTCAGTAGAGGGGAATGGTGGGGACCAGCAAGGGGGAGCAGTGGGGGTTGGGTGGGGGCGGGGGCGGGACCAGCGGACCAGCATCTGCAGCACTTGGGCAGCAGAGCCACACGATGCCAGTCCTAGCAGCATCCAGGAGCAGAAGGCCTTTTTGGGGCCTAGATTTGCCAACTGGGGGCCAGCAAAGGAGGGAGGGTGCCAGCCGGGGCACTAACTCAGGGAGGAAGGCACTCGTCAAGTCTGGTGACATTTCGCAAGTGCGAGGCAGGAGCCCAGCCATCAGAAAAGGCTCAGGGCCGACCCTGGTGGGTAGGGCCGGCGCCCTTGGGGCAGCCTCAGTGCCACCCAGAGGCGAAGGTGCCCCGGGACCCACTGGTCCAGCTCGTTGAGGAGGGCACGGCCAGCTGGTGCTGCCGGGAGAGGCAACAGCCCCCATCAGCCGCGCTGCCCGGGGTCCGGGGGACTGTAAGGAGCCCCAGTCACAGAAGGCGGCTCTGGGGTCGCCCGATGCACCCCAGGGGTTGGGGATTCCGCCATCTGGAAGCGTCTCTTCTGAGCTTGATCACGACGCATCGTCTGCGGGGTCCGTCGGGATCTGAGCCTCCTCCTCGGCTGTCTGCACGGGGTCCTGAGGCTCTTCTCCCTCCAGGGTCACAGGCGTCAGTGGCACCATAGCCGGGTTGGCAGAAGAGCAGCGCCTGGCCCTGTGCGGGGTGGAGCACTCATGGGGTCCCTGCGGGCCACGGCTGCCCCCAGAACCCCAGGCGGGGTGGAGCACTCATGGGGTCCCTGTGGGCCACGGCTGCCCCCGCAACCCCAGGCAGGGTGGAGCACTCACGGGACCCCTGCGGGCCATGGCTGCCCCCAGAACCCCAGGCGGGGTGGAGCACTCATGGGGCCCCTGCAGGCCATGGCTGCCCCCGGAACCCCAGGCGGGGTGGAGCTCTCACAGGGCCCCTGCGGGCCCCTGCTNGGCTGCCCCCAGAACCCCAGGCGGGGTGGAGCACTCATGGGGCCCCTGCAGGCCATGGCTGCCCCCGGAACCCCAGGCGGGGTGGAGCTCTCACAGGGCCCCTGCGGGCCCCTGCTGACCAGGACCCTGTGCCGGGTGGAGCTATCACGGGGTCCCTGCCGACCACGGCTGCCCCCAGAACCCCAGGCGGGGTGGAGCACTCACGGGGTCCCCTGCAGGCTGCCGCTGACCAGGACCGTGCTGATGCGAGCTTGCTGGTTGAGCAGCCATCCCCACAAACCACTTCCTGAGGTGCCTCTCAAGACTGACAGAATTTGTATTTTTTCATACTTAAAAAAGGAGCTCAACACCAGAAACTGAATTTGATACCGCATTTCCACTTAAGAGTTCTGTATCATAAAAACTGCTTTGTTTTGGTGTGAAACTCTTCTGTTCCAGTCCTGATATATCTTAAACTGACTGAAATTGCTCTCTTCGTATCTTCTGTAAATTTCTCTCTCCAGCAAGTTCTGACCTGAAGCTCTGTGGACCGTCGCCTCCTCCCACCCAGTGGGACCATT